TTTGGTGGAAAAGAATCAATACAAAATGTCCATCGACCTTTAAATACAGAGTACCAAACCATACGCTGAAGACAGTAAAGCACGGTGGCCTTAAAATCATGGTATGGGCATGCTTTTTATACAACGGAGTAGGTCCCATACATATGATCGATGGGATCGTGGACCAACATGCATATGTACAAATACTAAAAACTGTCATGCAGCTGTATGCTGAGGAAGAGGGTGCCATTAATTTCGACATTTCAGCAGGACAACGATCCCAAACATACATGCAAGTTGGCCAAGAAGTGGTTTACTAAAGAAACAGTTGATGTAATGTCATGGGCAGCACAGTCCCCGGATTTAAATCCCATTGAAAACTTATGGGGGGACATTAAGCGCTACGTATCAAAGAAGTCCCCGACTTCTAAGCCGCAGCTTCGGCAATTTGTGCAGGAGGCATGGGGCCAGATTTCCCTCAAGCGTTGTCAAGATTTGGTGGACTCCATGCTCCGTAGGTGTGAGGCTGTGATAGCCAATAAGGGCTATTCAACAAAATATTAGATCATAGACGAATTTCAGTAAGATTTGTTTATTTAAAAGTTATTTTGAAAAAATTATATTTTTTTTTTCGCTTTTTTTTGTTATTAGCTATATCTTCTAATATGTTTAAGTTACCCAAATGAAATAATTGTTGTATTATAATTAAATAAACTAAACCTTTATGAAAGAACTTGTTATCAAAGTAGTGCTTGTAATAGTCTTTCAATCTTTTACGTGCAGGTCGTAAGAACTGCTATTTCGGCGAACATAGGTGTTTATAATTTATAAGGTCGGAAATGTCTCCTAGCGTTACAAACTTCCGGCAAAATTATAATAAAACAAGAGAGAACGCTATAGTCGGGTGCCCCGACTATCAGATACCCGTTACTCAGGTAAAGGGAGTGCGAGGGAGATGGAGATAGAAACTTTGATCACGCATAACTTTTTAACGAATGGTCCGATTTGAAAAATTTCTTCTACATTTCGATAGGTATTGATAAACACAATAAAACTGCATTTTTACTTTTCCGAAATATTTAAATTTTTAAAATCGTATATAAGCGATTGTGGGCGTTAAAGGGGGCGTGGCACCATTTTGAAACAAACTTGCGCTGCGTAGGAACTTCTAAAATCTACATGCAAAATGCCAATCTTCTAGCTTTAATAGTTTCCGAGATCTCAGCGTTCATACGGACAGACAGACAGACAGACAGACAGACAGACGGACAGACAGACGGACATGGCTAGATCGACTCGGCTAGTGATCCTGATCAAGAATATATATACTTTATAGGGTCGGAAACGCTTCCTTCTAGCTGTTACATACTTTTGCACGAATACAATATACCCTTTTACTCTACGAGTATTGGGTATAACAAGAGAGAACGCTATAGTCGAGTGCCTCGACTATTAGATACCCGTTACTCAGCTAAACAACTTAATATAAATATGCCTTCTTGTAATAAATTGACTAGAAATATTAAACATACATACTTATATTGGCTAAACACATACATTCTTAAATAGTATTATGTATATTAAAGTCTAAATGTTTGCACAACACGAGTAACGGGTATAGCGAATAGCTTTTTTGAAAGGAGTTATCTTTGCCGGGCAATTGCAACTGTGTACAATGTAAATACATACATATGTATATGCTTACATAAATACACACATACGCCATTGTTTGACTCAGACCGCCAATTTGGCTAACTTGATTTGATTTGCATAGTTCTTGGGATATATGTAGTTCGGTATTGACAAATGAAAACCATCGCAATTTCCTTTAATAGAAATCCTTATCGAGAATTAACGTTGACTCTGTTGAGCACCTTGGTCAGCTGTTCCAAAGTCATCCGTTAGATGGCGCCATAAAATGTAGGCGCTAGCCAGGCTAAAGCGTTTAATGGGTTTTTGGGCGTTAGAGTGGGCGTGCCAAACTTTTATTAGGCCAATCGATAGGTATTGAAACAAATACATATCAATTAAAATTTTCATAATATCATCAAAACTGTGGCCACAGCCACAACAAGAATATATATACTTTATAGGGTCGGAAACGCTTCCTTCTACCTGTTACATACTTTTGCACGAATACAATATACCCTTTTACTCTACGAGTAACGGGTATAACAAGAAAGGAAAGCTAACTTCGGGCGGAGCCGAAGCTGATATACCCTTGCAGAATACTCTGTAAATTATACTCTTCAAAAATATTCATAAGATGCATTCTTAATACTCATAAAAAATCCAAACTTCCTAACTTTAAAAACACCAATGTTATGGCATTTCCGATCGTTCAGTTATATGACAGCTATAGGATATAGTCGGCCGATCCATATGAAATTTGGTAAGTCGGATTGATTGGCCAAAAATAAAACCTATAGAAAATCTCAACTTCCAAACTTTACAAACACCAAAGTTATGGCATTTCCGATCAATCAGTTATATGGCAGCTATAGGATATAGTCGTCCGATCCCGGCCGTTCCGACTTAAATACTGCGTGCAAAGGAAAGAAGGGTGTGTGCAAAGTTGCTTATATCAACTCAGGAGGTGATCCTGATCAAGAATATATATACTTTATAGGGTCGGAGATGTCTCCTTCACTGCGTTGCACAATTTTGACCAAAATTATAATACCCTCTGCAAGGGTATAATGACCGTCGGAGATTTCAGTGTTACTCCTGTATATAGCCTTATTTGACCGAAATATGCAAACTGCACAAAGAATCTTTTTAGGGTAAGGTTGGGTGCACTCTTATTGTAGTAAATCAGCTAAACTTCAAATGATTTTATTTGTATCGGTTTCAACTAGATTATCACACATGTATTATTTTGTTATGAATTTACAGGATACGTTATAGTGACAAAAAATTAGCATTGCCTTTCAATGCCTGATAAAAATAAACGTTATGTAAATTGTGAGCCAATTTGATAAAGGTAGTCATAAAGTCTTAACTAATTTAGATCCTATTTAAAAATTAACTTCTTAAACGTTCTAAGCTATACCAAGTTTGATATAAATTGTTTTTGGCAAAAGGCCAAAGGAAACTCCGTCAGGACCATTTTAAGATCCTGACGCATGGTGACATCAATGCTATTATAGACACGACTTTTTTACCGATTTGAAACGGAAATAAAAATCAACTTTTTTACAAACGGATCAAAAATCGGAGAAAAAACTTATTAAAATAAAACAACCATTTAACTGTCGAAAATTTTGCCCTATCACATCCAAATTGAGCTAAAGCTTTCCGTATCGCCAAAAAAAATTCTTTAAAAATGACCGATTTTGCACCGAATTAACTTTAAATAACCAAATATTTATCAGTGAATTAAAAAAAACACTATTACATAAAAATGGTATTATTTTGTATTTTCCTTGTCACCGGCAAACTCTTATTGCCAAGGTACTTGGGAATATCCTGCAGGTTTTTTTTATACCCTTGCAGAGGGTATTATAATTTTGGTCAGAAGTTTGTAACGCAGTGAAGGAGACGTTTCCGACCCTATAAAGTATATATATTCTTGATCAGGATCAATAGGGGAGTCGATATAGCCATGTCCGTCTGTCCGTCTGTCCGTCCGTCCGTCTGTCCGTCTGTCCGTCTGTTTCAATACCGTTTGCGAGCTCAGTTTAAAAGCTAGCGATCTGAAACTTTCACAGTCGTCCTAAAACAAGTGTACGCAGATCAAGTTTGAAAACCGCCCCGATCGGATGTCTATATCCTATAGCTCCCATAGGAACAATCGGATATAACTTGCAAGAATGGAAGATATTTCGCGCAGTGTAAAAGCTATTGACATAAATCTTTCCAAATCTTATTTTTTTATGCGTACCTTGATCAGAGTAAAAGCGCGTGACGATCGGACGTCTATATCCTATAGCTCCCATAGGAACAAAAGGGTAAAATCGGTTAAAATTTAATGATTTTTAGGATATTTCACGCAGTATACAAGCTATTGACATGAATCTTTCCAAATCCTATTTTTTTATGCATACATTGATCAAGGTGAAAGCGCGTGCCGATCGGACGTCTATATCCTATAGCTCCCATAGGAACAATAGGGTGAAATCGGTCCAAATTTGATGATTATCAGAATATTTCGCGCAGTGTGTAAGCTACTAACATAAAATTTTCCAATTCTTATTTATTTACGCATATCTTGATTAGGGTAAAAGCGCTTGCCGCTCGGAAGTCTATATCTTAAAGGAGATAGGAAAAATTGTTAAAGGCTGCGAAAGTATCCCTTTTTTTCTATTTGTATATGACATTTTTGCAGTATAAAAGCAATTGACTTGAAACGATGCAAATCTAGTTTACTTATTTATACCTTATTCCTTTCCCTACTTTTTCACTTTTAGCAATTTCGTCAAAGTCTGCAAGGGTATTAAAACTTCGGCTTGCCGAAGTTAGCTTCTGTCCTCGTTTTTTTTATTATTTTGTACTGTTTGTCAACAAACCCAGCTGATGGACAGTAAGACCGTAGCTTACTCAGTCCTGACGAAGTCTTAAAAATTCGATCACACAGGAAAGATTCAAGTTTTTCCGCTGGCAAACTTGTTTTTCGATCTGAGTACTAGGCTTTAACCCGCGTAAGTGCAACTAAGCTAACCCTTATTTTGTTTACGGGACATCGAAGGATTCTCTGAATAACTCTTAACCTGTTTTCCCTTATTACGTGGAATATATATTTGTGTAGCGTGTAGTTCTTCCTAAAAAATAATAACAATTTTAATGTTCGATACTTTTTGTTGGTCTTTTATTTACATTTTTATAGGTGGCTTCACAATTTTGTAACGATTAAAATGGAAATACATAAATTTAGTTTTGGAAAATAAATTAACACAATTTAAATTTCATGAGATCTAGTCTGTATTTAATATTTCCTGCATATTTAGCGAGTGTTCACAGAATAACCTTCTTCCTTCCCGATCTCTTTTTTTTGGAACCGTTAGAAAGCCAAAGTAACTCACCTCTCGCTCGCACCTTTAGTGGCGCTCGCTTGCCGTCCCACTCGCTCTCACTGCGCTGCGAGAGATGGTCCGCTGCAACTGCAACAACAACAACTGCAACGGGAACTGCAACTGGGAGGGCAACAACAGGAACCACGAGAAGAGTGGCCAGCGGAGGGCACGTAATTCCGTTGGCCGCCCATCTGCCGACCTTTAATTACGGGTTTCAATGATTTTGTTTTTGTTGTTTTTTTGGGACCCGCTCTTATTTTGTTGTTGCTTCGCCACTTTGTGGTGGGATTTGTTGTTTTTGCCGATCGTTTTCACTCGAAATTTGTGCGGCGCCTAAATTTATGTTTGTGTGTGGGGTTGGGGAAAAACATAAACATAAACATTTTATACACATTTCGTCACAAATTGAGGGGCGCAGACACGCACACTCACAAGCACACACGGTGTATCAACAAAAGAAAAGCCTCTCTTTCTGTATCGCACAAACACACACAAAAGCTAATTTCTCTGAATTTTCATTAATGACTTTTTTGGTTTTTGCAACCGATGTTATCTATGTTTAAGTTATGTTACAAGAAAACGAAAAACAATTACGACCCTCCCCCTCTCACGAACACTCACGCACAGACGCACACACACCTTACACTCCGCAAGCACACACACACTTGGCGTGCAAAAACATGATGCAAACTTTTCTTATTGGACACCAATTATGATTTCCCTCTGAAATCGATCCCTTCGCGCCAATGTAGACATCGTATTCTGACGCGAGCTGGGCTCTTTCAACAAACAAATCACAAGAAAAAAATAAATAACCCAACACACATTACATTATTAATACATATGTATGTTGGAGGTGACAAATCAGCGATTGTCGCTCTGTGACAAAGTTATCGGTTGTCCTTTTATTGTATCGATACTTATCCTCGTCACCCTCCACACTAAGCGCGTTCATGCCCCCTATTTATTAAACTTACACAACAGCGATAGGTTGTTGTCCACGCTTGTGTAACATCTTGGGGCAGGGCTGCCAGACTGGCGCAAATAGTTTAACAGATGTACAATTTAATATTATGCTTCACGCATAACATAAATTTAACTAAATGAATATATTTGAGATTTATTTAATATGTATGTATGTATTACTTTCCATTTATTGTGGACATAATAAAAAAAAGACCTGCAATATAAAAACACCAAACAAGTTGGGCTATTTCGATATCGATAGAAGACGTGTTTGATATCGGCATTCGTAAGATTCGATAGGCACCGTACCGGTGGCTATCAGCTCTATTCCGATCCCGCCATATCTATTCTATATCTCCGATCCCATCCCGCCCAAGACATGAACGATCTGAGCCTGCGCGTGGCCGCCTTGAAGCTCTGCGCGCATCCCAAGCGATTCGCGGAGCTGCGGGACGCCTTGGTGCCGCTGCCCAACAGGTGGAATAGCGGTGAGTTTGGTGGCTGTGCATCCTCCAGTGCCACATGTTGATGCGCCCCACTCGTTTCAGCTTCCCACGGATTTGTGCGCCAGTTCGCGGCGGCCAAGAGCAGTGCGGAGCAGGTGCTGGCGGTCAAGGAGATCTTCTACAGCGATCAGCAGGAGCACGTGGAACCAGCCCGCTTTCTGGCGGACCTGCTCCTGGCCAGTCCACTGAAGCACGCCGTGCGCAACCAGCTGACCAAGTACGGTGAGCCCTCGGCTACGCCAACGCCGCCCTGCATACATATCCGAATAAACCCCCTTCAGACTATTCTCGGACAATGGCCTGGCCAAACAGGATCCGGCGAGACTGCACGGGCACTCTAAGGACCTGCTGCTGGAGGCACTGCAGCAGTCGCTCGGCGCCATGGCCACAAGTCTCGGGGGGCCTGCGTCGCCAGAGAGCCACGACCACGCCAACGACGTCTTCGTGTCCGCCAACGCCTGTCTGCAGAACTTCCCTTTCGGGCGGGAGGCCCTGGGCCGCCAGGTGCTCCTCTTCGCGCCGCGCCTGCCCGCCGCCCTGCAGCGCTACTGGGCGGACATCAGGTGGGTTCCTAGTTTATTATCATGCATTTAGAGGCTTACATAGTTTCACATCTCTAGAGATGAATAATCTCCCAAGGGTAGTGTAAACTACCCATAACCTATATTTAACCGAAAAGAAGCCCTTCGAACAGGCTTTTTGAGTGATCTTCAAGCCCATAGAAGCCACATACTATAAAGAATCCACTGATCTCAATGGTTTATTAGGGGTTTCAAAACTCTATATATTAAAACGGAATTTCGCCAACTCCAACTCAACGAATCCCTCTTCTAAACAGTGATCCTTCGCTGGAACTCTCGCCAACACGTCGCAACGAGCTCTACCTGTACGTGCAGAACGCGTTGAGATTCCTGGTCAGCCTGCTGTCCGAGTGGAGCGAGCAGTTGCGCCTGGGCGATGGCCGCCAGTTGCTGGGCTCGGCAGATGCGGTGGCCAGAGAGGTGGCTTGCCACGTGGACACACCGTGGGATGTACGCTCCATCGCCGGGTTGCTGATCGGCCACCTGGCGCGCTTCTCCGGCGTGTTTGGGGAGTACATCGCAGACTGCTCGAGTGCCCGGACGGAGCAGGATCTCCCTGTCCAGACGGCGGCCCTGCTTGTCCTGCGGCGCTCGGATTACGCGGAGCACGCCCCGCAGGCCCTGGCCGTTCTGAAGATGATCGTTACGGTCGGCGAGCGGGAGAACAGCGTTAGCAACCTGCTCGTCTTCCTGTCCAAGCACCTGTTCATCTACTCCAAGTCGCTGGGCGACATGCAATCCTTCCTGCCCGCCACCCAGGAGGTCGTTTACCAGCAGATCCTCGCGGAGCTGCAAGTGTTCGCCCTGCAGAACATTTCCAGCGGCACGGATTCCGTGCGCCACATGAGCAGCGCGCTCCTCCGCCAGGTCCTGCAGCACGCCAAGACCACTGGCCGGGAGGAGCTCTTCCAAGTGGTCTACCGCCAATTCGAAGGGTGCTCCGCGTCCCTCAGTGCCAGCTGCCTGGCGCTGGAGCAGCTCGTCGCGGTCTCGGGAGTGAGCCAGGCCATCGCCAACTGCCCTTCGCTCTTTGGAGTCGTTTTCCCGCGCTTCTTGGGCTGTGAGGACAGTGTGGATGCCCTGTTCAAAGGCGAGTATTCTATAAATTTAGCAAAAAAAACCCATAGAGCATTTTACTAGGAGAGTCTGATTCAGTGCATTTTTTCGCTCATATTTAAAGTAGGGACGCAATCGTCATTTTTAATTAAATATTATTGTAAATATTATACAGTAGAATCTCCAAGGATATATCGCTTGTATTCCTATGCTACTGAGAATATGTGAGTTGACATTTATTTTGATATCTCAATTTTGTTTTTATTAAATCCTATAGTCCATGCAATCTAACCATTTAAAACTTGTTTAAGAATTAAGTTTAGATGAGGTTTTCCTTTTAAAGAAGAGGCTTCCTTGGCGGAGCGCTAGAGTCCCCGCTTTGAATTATTTTTTTAGTTGATGTGAATAAAAAAAAATGGTTTAAAGGTATAATTTTTGAGGTCAGAGAACGTTAATCCTGAACATGAACTAAGCAAATAAAGTGCACTGAAACAGACAGCCTAGTAGTGCCTAGCCTAGTCTGCTGTGCGTTACAAACAGCTGACACAAAATTTTAGTACCCTCTTAAAGGCATAAATGTCATAAAATGTACATATGTATATGCATTTCTCCAAATAAATACAATGAATACAATTTCATTAAAATATAGTCCGAAATAATATTCACTCAATAGAAGCTTAACAACGTAGAAATGACGCAATTAACATTAACATTTTGTATGTCTATATTAAAACCATACATTTAATAATATTGCTCAGCAAAGCATCTTATAATTTTTAAAGTGATCTATTTATGAAGTATGCAGTACTCTAAATTTAATAGCAAATCTTAAATATTTTTATTCGTTATCATCAATACTATCGAAGCCTGTGCGTCCTGAATGAAGGACTAAATTTAACATACGTATTAACGGACTTTTAATGTTATTAATTCCCTGTTCTTTTTGACACAAGCATTTGTATTTTTCATTACCAACTCTGCCATTTTACCCATGTTCTAACGCATTCTAAACCATTCAATCATTTTTGTAATCCCTCATTAGTTATGATGGTGTCAGCCCACAAAACGCAGCCCCTGGATGAGTGGCAGAGCCTGTGGTTCGGGCAACTCCTGGCGGCGACCCAAGTGGCGGACAAGCGGCGGCCGGTCATCGAGCAACTGCTCACGCAGGCGGTGCAACTGGAGCCCCGGACCCTGGCCCACCTGCTCCTGCGGGACGCCCGTCTGCCGCTGAGCAGCAAGCTGTCGGCGATCCTCAGCGCGAGGCAACTCAGCGAGAGGCGGCAGGAGCTGCTCCGGGATCTGAAGCAGGAGGTGGAGCAGGCCCTGCTCGGCCTGGATGACCACACGCGCCTCCTGGCGCTGCGATTCGTGGTGGAGACGCCGCGACCCAGCGATCATTTGACCAAGGCCGAGGCGGAGGCCATCGGCCTCTATCTGCGCCACAACGCCAACAATCCGAGTGCCCATCTTCGCCAGCTGGGCTACGGACTGCTGCAGAAAGCTCTGCGGAGGATCCACCTCGGCCTCGCCGAGCACCAGAAGCGGCCCACGCCGGCGGGCGAGGAGCTGCTCAGCCTACTGACCCGCCTCACCGGCGATCTCTCGCGGAATCTGTTTCCGACAGCGAACTATGGACGGCGCTGGCTGTCGCTGCACTTGCTCCGCGACTGCGTGGAGCTGGGCCGGAAGTTGCAGCTGCGGATCAGCGAGGAGCTGCTGCCGCCGGAGGCACTGCCCAATTTGAAGCACTGTCTGGGCGACAGCTACGAGCAGAACAAGGTGCTGGCAGCCCAGCTGCTGGAGTCCCTCCAGTCCTGCTCCCGTTTCGACGCGGTCGAGATGGTCGAGCTGCTGCTCTCGCTGCGGCCACCCGACTCCGCCACCGGAGCCTTCCAGTTGCAGGTCTACTGCAGAGCCAAGGCGGTGGAAACCGACTTGCCCGTGAAAGTGGAAGCCGAGACGACCCTCGAGCCAAGGACCTTCAGAGCGCTGCACTGGTGCCTGGACCACCTGAGAGAGGGACTGAGCCTCGCCCAACGAGATCTGGCCGAGGCGGCCAAGCTGAACCCCCTGTACGGCCTGCTCTTTGCCAGCCGGCACCTGCTGCAGCAACTAGATCTGGAGCAACTGGCAGAGGAGGCGGCCTGGAGGCAGTATGTCCAGGCACTGGTCACCACCTGCCTGGCAGTCAGCGGCGTGGTGCTGCCTGTGGTCAGCAGCGCCTCGCCCGAGGGCCACCTGCCCGCCACCCGCGACCAGGAGACGGATCAGCCCCTGACCAACGTGCTCAGCCGTCGGCTGCCCAGCGAGGCGTTGCAGCAGGTGCGCACCACGCCCCAGATGGTGCTCCTCTGCGCCTGGCGCAGCATCAAGGAGGTCTGCCTGATCCTGGGCGAGTTGGTTCAGCGGGCGCCACTGGAGGAGGAGCAGCTGCAGCAGCAGCAGGGGGACTTCCTGCTCAGCAGTGGCCAGCTGGAGGCCATTGGAGAGCACTTCCTGCATCTGCTGGCCGAGACCAAGCATCGCGGCGCCTTCGAGCAGGCCTACGTGGGATTCACGATGCTGTGCCGCCGCTTCTGGCACAGCGATGCAGTGCGTCTCAACCAGCTGCCCGGCCAGTGGGTGAGCGAGGCCATGGCGATGGTCAGCGGGCAGGAGGTGCGCCGGGGAGCCCGTCTCTGCTCCACCCGCCGCAGTGCGGGCATGCCCTTCATGCTGCAGGCGCTGATCTGCACGGAACTCAAGCTGGGCACCCATGCCACCCTCCACCGCTGCATGCTGCAGTTGCTCGAGGTGTGCGAGCGGCGGACCGCGGGACCGGCGGGGATCACCGCGCGCAGCCACGCCCTCAACATCTTGCGCGCCCTCTTCCGCTGCAGCGAGCTGGCCGAGCTGGTCACCGAGTTCATGGCCCGCGGCATCCAGTGCGCCCTCGAGGGCCTGCTCCTCGCCGAGGAGTGGGCGGAGCGCAACTGCGCCACCCTGCTGCTCGCCGCGCTGGTCGTCCGCGTGTTCGGTGTGGAGCGGGCTCGCCTGGAGACCGGGGAGCTGCACGTGCGCAACCGGATGACGGGACGCATCTTCTTCACGCGGTACCCGCAGCTCTTTGACTACTTTCACGGCGCACTCCAGCGGGAGTCGACCCAGATGGACTCGAACGAGCGGGCCAGCGGAAACGGAAACGGGAGACGGAGCGGGAAGCGGAGGCAGGCGGTCCAGCTGGAGGCCATGCTGCTCATGCTCAGCCGTCTGTATCCATCCTCGCTGGAGGGAGCCGAGTCAACGCTGAATGTGAGTGGCTTAGGGGATTCAACTGGCATTCTGATATCTTGTTTGTATCCCATACAGCTGAGCGAGTTTGTGCCCTTCCTGATAAAGATCTGCCACTCGCACGATTTGATGACACGCGAAAGAGCTGCTTTGGTGGTCGCCAACTTTGTCAGCCAGGAGCAGGCGCTGGCCGAGATCAGGCGCATCGTGGTGGAGCTCAAGGCGCTGCAGCTTAGGTTGGAGGTAAGTTGGTTTTCTGGTGTCTTTCGGCTGCTTTTCCAACAAAGCCTTCCTCCCATCTTTGCAGAACCTAAAGGAACCCCCCACCCTGGACGCTAATCTCGTGCACGGGCAATTGCTCCTTCTGCTCCACCTGCACCGCTTGGTTCGTTGGACGCGTCCTTCGCTGGCGAGAATGCAGCTGCACACCCTAGCATCTCTCGCAGCTCCGATGCTCCAGTGCGACGTGTGTGCGTTCGGCGCGCTGGTGGATGTGATGGTGGCCATCATGGAGGATGCCGTCGATCCGGGTCTGGTGGACTTCCAGCTCCTGGATGCGATCGCTGCCGTATACCGACTGGATCATAAGGAGGTCTACAGGCGCTGCCAGGGGCTGGGAATCTCGATGCGGTTCTACCAGATCTTTGGCCTGCATCTGCATCGACTGCACGGGATTTCCCAAGGAATGGTGCAGCACATGGTCGAGGATCTGGCCGAACCCTTCTGGGCCCTGGACGAGCTCAAGGTGGAGCTATGGCTGTACATCCTGCTGCAGAGGAGCCTGGGCGAGGAGCGCCCGCTGGTCAGCGAGCTGGACGTCGAGCACTTCCAGTTTTCGGGCGACATTCGGCGCTACTACAAGACCCTCAGCGCCGAGGAGCGGCAGGAGATCGGCGAGCAACTGCATCAATCCCGGGCCATTCGCTCCTGCGTCCTGCAGATGACGAGCACCTCGACCACCCGCCACTGGAGCCTTCAGCTCGTCGGCCGCCTGGTCGCCTTGCAACCCCTGCTGAAGGAGCCAGCACTGGAGCTGGATCAGCTGGTCCGCCGCTGCTCAGAGGCGCACTCCAGTCACCAGGAGCCGGGACTGGTACTGGGCCTGAAGCGACTGATCGGGGAGACGGAATCTCTGGAGCGGAAGCACTGGCTGCCCCTGCTGAACTACGCCCTGCGCCTGGTCGCTCCCGTCCAGCCGGTCTACCTGCGTCACCAGGCGGCGGAACTGTGCGAGTTGCTCGTTCGCAGCCGGCCAAAGGATCAAATGGGCTTGGGCACCGCGGACGTGGACGTGGAGGTGGTCGGGCGCTTTGCCAGACTGGTGCTGCTCCTGCTGCTGGACGAGGCCGAGTGGTTGCGGCATGGGGCTGCTCAGCTGGTGTGCAGCGCCAAATTTAGGAGCGAAATTCAACAGGAGGAGGCGGCCATGTCAAGGGAGATATTGCCCAGTGCCCTGACTCCGGAGTTCCTAAAAGCGATGATGAGGAATCTGGAACAGCAGGCCGGCCATTCGGCCTTTCTGCTTCGTCTCTTCCACCTCATCGCCGAGCCCTTCCTGGCCTCTGAAGCGAAGGATTCCGAGCTGAGCATTCACGAGGATGGGGATGTGGAGGTGTTCGACAAGCAGGAAATCAACCTTTACTGCGAGCCGCTGCTGGTTCTCTGCGAGTTGGCCGCTGCCTTTCGGGCGCAGTTTGGAAAGAGCCAGGAGCTGATGGCTGCCATTGAAGCCCTGGGACTTCCCTCGGACTTAGTATCGGGTTAGCTCTGGAATGGAGACAGGTGCTGGCACCTGGAGCGTCTAATGCAAGAGCATTTGATGTGTGCAATAGTAAGCTTGCGTAACTTCTTAAAGCAGAACCATTCGGCTTCTCAGACAGAAAAAGTGGCAGTCAAAAATAGTTTAAGAAAGCATTTAAAAAGCTTCGCAACAAAAAAAAAATTAAATTGTACTACGTACGTATTCCTTCCATTACCGCCTGTTTTATAGTAAGGAAATATTTTTTTTTTTTTAATATGTTTTTGTTTTGCTTCACTGACAATCTTCACGAACTTGTTAAAATACATAATGTGACTGGTAAATTTAAGTAGTAAGTTAAAACTCTTAATAATAAAAAAACAAAACGACTACATTTCGATTTTTATGCATATATTACTAAAAACAATGAAGTTAAGTCGATTTTGAGCAGTATGGCAGCTATATGATATTGTTGTCTAATTTTGCCAAAACTAAAAGCAATTCTGATTTAGTAAATAATTACTTATCTCAAAGGAATATTTTGATAAATAGAAAAACAGCAAAATATTTTTTTTTCATTTTTATTTCTTTTAATTTTTTGATTTTCCTATGGGAGCTACATGATATACATAGGTGTCCGATTTTTATTTAATTAAAACCACAATTCCAACGTATTGAAATATTACCAAATCTTTAAAACTTAGGGACTGGTTTGCGTAGAAACGGACGGACGGACAGACGGACCTGCCTAGATCGACTCTCCTGGTGATGCTGATCAAGAATATATATGCTTTATAGGGTGGGAAAAGTCTTCACTGCCTTGAAAACTTTTGACTGAAATTATAATACCCTCTGCAAGGGTATAATAATTTATTTCGGGGTATTTTGCAAAACCAATGTAAATTCGACTTTCACATAAAGAAACTGAATCTTTTTAGAAATAAATGCGAAATTGCACAAAAAAACTCTACCGATTGGTATATGTAAATATAGTAGACAAAAAATGTAATAATATATTGCTAATAAATTATGTACCGAGAGTAGAAACTGTCTTAAGGGGGGAGCCTGCTTTAGAAGCTTAAAATTTCAGAAGAAAATTCAAAATATTTTTTAAGATACAGTGAGCAATATACGGAAACTTGGACGAGCGATTTATTGGCACAAACTGGAAACTCTCTTCGAACCTACATTATGTTATCTCGTCGGCAAACCTCTTCAATTATAAAAATGCGTGCAAGAGAAATGGGCACTGTTAAGTAAGTGCGAGCAGAGCGACAAAAGAATGTGTGGATTAGCCCTTAGATGGTTCAGGGGTTTTTCTTTGCCTTTCATAATAAAAGAGGTTTAATTCTTATACCCTTGCAGATGGTATTATAATATCAGTCAAAAGTTAGCAACGCAGTGAAGAAGAGCTTTCCGACCCTATAAAGCATATATATTCTTGATCAGCATCACCGTCCGTCCGTCCGTTTCTACGCAAGCTTGTCCCTCAGTTTTAAAGCTATCTGCTTGAAACTTTCCCAAAAGTTGTCTTTCTATTGCAGGTAGTATATAATTCGGAACGAGACGGATCGGGCAACTATATCATATAACTCCCATAGGAACAATCGAAAAAAATCCAACAAAATTATAACTTTGTTGTTTTTAATTTTTTTTTTGGTCTTTGGGACTTGGTAGTATTTTAATATTATGAAATTACGGTTTTAATTAGTATTTAAATATTATGGAATTACGGTTTTAATTAAATTAAAATCGGACAACAATATAATATAGCTGCCATAGAAAAGAATACAAAATGCGTCGTTTTTTGTTTTTGAATGTCCAGTCTTTTGTTAAGATTCTTAATTCTAAAATATATTATAATCTTAAAATAAAACTTTTATATGTCAAAGAGTCATGTTGCACAAGGGTTAATTGAGATTCTGCAGCAGTCGCTCTCATCCATTCCTGGTCCCTCGCACAGGTTTGAACAGCTGATATTTTCACCACATCGATCAAACACGGGCGTCGGGCCGGCGTCGAGAAATCGACGGGCAGAGCAAATGAAACCTCTATGCGTTTCTTACTCATGGAACACGCACTGACCAAAACCAGAACTTTTAAACAGCCGACGCCATAGAGTAATAATGTAGTTTCTTACTCTATGCCGACGCGAGTAAGGTAGCTTAATCATCATAGTGCCACAATGTACATTTTTATACCCTTGCAGAGGGTATTATAATTTTGGTCAAAAGTGTGCAACGCAGTGAAGGAGACATCTCCGACCCTATAAAGTATATATATTCTTGATCAGGATCACCTCCTGAGTCGATCTAGCCATGTCCGTCTGTCCGTCCGTCTGTCCGTCTGTCCGTCCGTTTCTACGCAAACTAGTCCCTCAGTTTTAAAGCTATCTGCTTGAAACTTTCCCAAAAGTTGTCTTTCTATTGCAGGTAGTATATAATTCGGAACGAGACGGATCGGGCAACTATATCATATAACTCCCATAGCAACAATCGAAAAAAATGCAACAAAATTATAACTTTGTTGTTTTTAATTTTTTTTTTGGTCTTTGGGATTTGGTAGTATTTTAATATTATGAAATTACGGTTTTAATTAGTATTTAAATATTATGCAATTACGGTTTCAATTAAATTAAAATCGGACAACAATATAATATAGCTGCCATAGAAAAGAATACATAATGCGTCGTTTTTTGTTTTTGAATGTCCAGTCTTTTGTTAAGATTCTTAATTCTAAAATATATTATAATCTTAAAATAAAACTTTTATATGTCAAAGAGTCATGTTGCACAAGGGTTAATTGTTTATAAATTTCGTCCGCGGACAACCTCTCTCTTCAAAAAACGAACAAGCACGCGAGTAAGGTAGCTTAATCATCATATAGTGCCAATGTAAGTTTTTTCACAGTGGCTCACAGCTTATTTCGTGCGACGTAATCTTGAAATGCAAACTCATTTAGCTGGCAAATTATACGGAATATGATAAAGATTTGCAGTTATGCAGTTATGTTTGGTAGTATTTTGGCATTTATTATTATTAAGGCACTTCATTATTGTTAGATAACACTTAAACTAAGAATAACTACAAATACAGACTTTTTTTATGTCACCGCTTATTTCGTGCAAGGAACTTCATATAATATATTGATTTTTAATTTAAGTTAATTAAAAGTCAATATATTTAACATACTTTATTAACTTAAATTAAAAGTAAATATATTAAATAAAGTTCCACGAAATAAGCGGTGACATAAAAGAAGTCAGTATTTTTAGTTCTTAGTTTTAAGTGTTATTGTTATTATTATTAATGGAGTTTAAAAATAATGAAGTGCCCTTATAAATGCTAAAATACTACCAAACTGCATTTAAATCCTTTTCCAATTCAGTTTAGTTTGCCAGCTATACGAGTTTGAATTTAATGTTTACGCCTGGACGAAATAAGCTGTGAGCCACTGTACCTACCAAAAGCTTATAGACGTTTTCAAATATATTTAAGCGAATAATGTTTCAGTCGTGCTTTGATTTTCTTCCGAACAAGTCCATATTTTTTTAAAATTTTGCAATGCCCGGAAAACGTACAGACTATGATTTAATTCAATTGGTTTATTTGGATTTATTTAACGGAAAATCAGCAAATGAGGTGGCTAATTTTCATAATATGAACCTAAGAACAGTTTATAATATTAAAAAGCGCGTGGAAAAAGATGAAAGGCTGAACTTAAATAGTTCAAATGGCAGACCCAAAAAATTTTCGCGGAAAGACCGTGCGACATTAAAAAAACATTTAAAAAAAAAGCACAGCCTTCGAAAAATAGCCAAAGATCTTAACGTGAGCCATGAGACAGTGAGAAAGGAAATATATAGGCTATTGTATTTGCCACATGGTGCAAGAATGAAACCCTTCCTGACTGCTGTCAATACTGAAAACCGTTTGAGATTTGGATTATTGAATTCTAATAAATCGCCGGAGTACTGGAATGACGTCATTTTTTGTGACGAGACCAAAATAATGATATATCATATCATATCAAAAGATGTGAAACCAAATACAGCCCACCAGGATAAAAATATTGTGCCAAAAGTCAAAATTGGGAAACTTTCAGTTATGGTGTGGGGTTGTATATCATCCAAAGGCGTTGGAGAGCTGCGTATATTTAACGATATAATGACCAAGGAATTCTATTTAGACATTTTACAAATTGAATTGACCAGAAGCGCCCGAAAATTTGGCTTCGTTGATCGCGAAAACAGAAGGAAACTCAAATACAAGCTGTACCAGAGCGATAATCCGGAGCACAAATCCCATGACTGCCGCTCCTGGACACTTAATAACTGCAGAGAAGTTATTGACACGCCCGTCCAGAGTCCGGATCTAAATCCTATCGAAAATTTGTGGGCATTACTTAAGAAAAAGGTAGCAAAACGCTGCCCTACTTCTAAGCCTGACTTGATAAAGTGTATTAGTGAAGAGTGGAAAAAAATACCTGATTATTACGATGTAAACAAATTAATTTCGTCGATGCCCCGTCGCCTCAAAGCAGTAGTGGAGGCTAATGGCGGGCGTGCTAAATATTAGCCAAATATATCTCGTCTATCAAAGTGCAGTCAAAAAGCGGACCCCTTTCCATAGCCGCTGTCTACTGCCCTCCTCGCTTTACAATTACTGAAGGACAATTCATGGATTTTTACAACTTGCTTGGAGATCGCTTCATAGCAGCAGGAGATTATAATGCCAAACATACCCACTGGGACTCCCAAAGGAAGGCAATTATATAATGCAATTATAAAACTATACAACAAATTGGATGTTTCCCCAGGTAGCCCCAAACTGTTTAAGATACAAAATGTATGTAAGTTCTCACATCGAACTAACCCCGCAGCTCAACATCGAAGAGGACATCGAAAGATCCACTGATGCTCTTAAAGATGTACTCGTGGCAGCAGCCACTATTTCAATACCACACTCGAAGGACGTGCAAATCAAGCATTTCAAAACTAAACTGCAATTGGAACAGCTTGTACTGGAAAAGTGGCGTCTGCGACGTGCTTGGCAAGCCAATAGATCGTCATCTTCAAAACAACGCCTTAAGGAAGCAACTCGCATTCTAAACCGAGCCCTGAAGAAAGACGCTGAAAATGCACAACTGCGGTACATCGGAAAACTTTCGCCATCCAGTACAAAACATCCTCTGTGGAGGGCTCACCCAAATCTAAGCTCTCCAATCGAAACAGTCACTCCGATAAGAAACCCATCAGGCCGAAACTTTTGCTTCACATCTCCGAAGCGTTTTCCAGCCGAACCCTGCCACTGGTCCATTTCTCCTGCCACAAATTGAATCCGAAACTATATCCTTACCAACATTGCGTCAGCCAAAAGAGATAGTGAACGTG